AGCAGTCCAGTTCTTCTTCTCCTTAGCCTAGGTAAGACGCCTCTGACGTTGTCTGTGGTTCAGGAGTGGCTTAACAAGAGGAATACGACATCTGTAGCCAAATTCCTTGACACGTCTGTGTGTTGTGGCTCTTGATGCCTTGGCCCCAGCCTCAGTCCATTCCTTGTGAAGTTCACTCAAATTGTTGAATCGATTTTGCTTGACAATTCTCATAAGGCTGCGGTTCTCTCGGTTGGTTGTGCATCTTTTTCTTCCACACTTTTTCTTTCCACTCAACTTTTTTGTTAACATGCTTGGATACAGCACTCTGTGAACAGCCAGCTTCTTTGGCAATGAATGTTTGTGGCTTACCCTCCTTGTGAAGGGTGTCAATGATTGTCTTCTGGACAACTGTCAGATCAGCAGTCTTCCCCATGATTGTGTAGCCTAGTGAACCAAACTGAGAGACCATTTTGAAGGCTCAGGAAACCTTTGCAGGTGTTTTGAGTTGATGCATGTCACCATATTCTACTTTGTTGAGATAGTGAATTGGTGGGTTTTTGTTCAATGTGAGCCTAAATCATCACAATTAAAAGAACCAAAGACTTAAACTACTTCAGTCTGTGTGCATTGAATTTATTTAATACACGAGTTTTACAATTTGAGTTGAATTACTGAAATAAATGAACTTTTCCACAACATTCTAATTTATTGAGATGCACCTGTACATGACAGTCCCAATAAAGAGGTAAAAGTTCTGAGGTAAAACATACTGTTTTTTTTTTATTTTTTACAAGTATTATGAATTAATAGTTTTTTTTTTAAGTAGCCTGAAGTAACCTTGCTTGTCAAATTATCAACTAATATACTGGACTTATTGACCTTGACACAGTCATGAGGGTCTGCATAACTGTTTCTATATTTTTTTCCCTGCATGCTGGTCGCACATCATTTTTGTGTGCAAGACAAGCGATAGTTCGCCCAAAAATGAAAATTCCACATTCATTTATCCACTCTTTTCTCATTCCAAACCTGTATGAAAATGACTTTCTTCTGTGGAACACATAAGGAATATTTTAAGGAATGCTGCTGGTAACCGAATAGTTTTGGTGACCACTGACTTCCACTGTATGGACAAAATACTAAGACATTTCTCAAAATATCTCTTTATATTCCAACATACAGGTTTGGAACAACACGGGAGTAAGTAAATGATGACAAAATGTTCATATTTGGGGTAAACTATCCATTTAAAAAATCAGTTCTGCTGCTCACCCACACCTCTTCCTGACCGACTTGATGCGCTGATTCCTTCCTGTCCGCCGTTTTGATGTTGGCAAAAAAAGGTCTACAGAATACCTTGAGCTGACGTTTCATAAACCTTTCCATCCTACTGTACACAATAACCTATGCCACTGTAACACATGACTGTATGAGTTATAACAACATACAGTAACAACGAGATAATCATAGTCTATCAAGCGTAACGATCCTCCAAGTGTCAGCCCTCAGTATGAAGCCACTTAACCTCCAACCCTGTACAGTTCTCTCTGCTCTCCAAGCTCAAACACGCACTCACTCTTGGCTAGTGGAAAACCAGTCAGACAAGAATGACATTCTCCAGAACAAAGCAGGAGAGGCCCACCATACAGAGCTGGAGGTGCATCCATCTGTTGACCTTTTAAGTTCAGTTCGGCATTCACTCGCTATTGTGATTTTCTCAATGGGCGTTTTTTTTTTTTACCTTAATGACCCATAGAATCAAATCCCATTCAATATTATCATTATCAAAACTATGGATTGGAGACTGTATAACTCCTACAACAGCACAATGCAGACAATATTAAAACACCATTATAGTTGCAATCATAAATATTCCTTGTTGATTTTAGAACATGTCACTGAGTTTATTTGACTCGCTGTTATCTCAATGATGTTGGCTGCTCTGCTTTCACTTGAACACCTTCTTAAGAGATATTTGTACTACCCAGATGCACTTCTTTACAATACAAACCTCTAACTCCTCCAATATCATCAGAACATGAGAGGGGGGAAAAGTAGTTTAGAAAAACTTGTGGAATTTTCCCCTCCATCTAGAAACAATGATCTCATGACCTGAAGCCCATAGTGTTAATCCGTTATCAGGAGGATTGCTCAACAACTGCATATTTCGATCTGCAGCATACACTTCTGTGCACACTTGTATTCAACGCACCTGCAATAAATGAAAAAAAAGCTACCACGGTATCTATAGGCTAGTACAAGCTTCTGCTTGTTAACATTGGTTAACGACATTGGTTAACAATAACGAACAAAGAAAAAATACTTCTCAAACATTTATTCATCTTAATTCATATTTATTTACTAACATAAAAATAGATAACGTTACATGTTCAGATAGATTGTCTTATTAGATACTTTTGATTCTCACCGTGAGCGGTTCACCTGAAGACTGATTATAGTCTCCGTAAACCATTAAATCTTCTTCGCATTCCTCAAAAGAAGAAGCTGGCGAGAGGCCGGTTGAGGACGAGCTGGACAGTTTTCTCAGCGCCAGGGACGAGGCGGGGGAGCCGCTGAGCCCGCTGTCCGAGCATATGGACTCCTCGTCGGGGTGATGAGAGCCCGAGCAGGGTCCGCGGGGGATGTGGTCACACTCGGTGACACACGGCTCGCAGGTAACAATCAGTTCAGGCACAGCAACGCGAGCGCGTCTGGAGAGCTGCTCCTCAGGATGGCTGTGGTGGACATCACCCATACCCGCGCAGGGTGCCGGGGTATCGGGCGTTTTAGTCATCCCGCTGCTTCTGATCTACAAGATCATTGAGGTTGTTGATAGGTTTATCCAGATTAGGGCCAAACCCAAATCGTAACTGGCTCGCGCTGGGCACTGCCGCACCTTGCGTGTGACGTGACGCACTGCTGCAGAATAAAAGCAATATTGGGCCACTCTCAACGTTAAGGTGCCGTGATCACATTCTTTTAGCCTCGGAAAATTATTAATAGTAATCACCTGAAATATTTAAAGAACCCACAAATATTCACGTACAAACAACATGCGTCTTTCAGCAGTATTGCAAAATGTATCATTTGCTCAGTGCATTGGCGTATTGTTAAAGCGTTACGTTAACAGACTGCACATCTTTGCCCCGCCCTTTTATCTTTAAAGCAACAAGAGCCAAAATTGAGCAGGTCAAAACACTAAATCAGATTTACAGCGCCACCTAACCTGTGGTCGACAACGTCCTTTAATACTGGCTTAAAATCCTCAGTACAGGATGAAATAATGTGTGCTCTTTATAGGCCTTTAACATATTTAATAATGTCTCTAAAAAAGGGCGTTTAGCATTTGGGTAAAGTACTTAAAGGCACAGTTCACTCAAAAATAAAACCTTTTTGAGATGCTTGAGGATGTGAAGTATTCACAATTCACGAAAGTTGCCCACACGATGTTCTAGAATCATGCGACAACAATCGTGTAAAAAACAGGGGGAAACGTAAGTCATTATTTAATGGAAATCTTTGACATACTGTCATGATAAAGCAACGTTTGATTCTGCAACATGCAAGTAATTTTAGTCCAACTGATGCACAATGTCACAAAATTCCTTTAGCTGTGACTATTCAGAACAGCTCTTGTACCTGCTGAAGTATACTGTACATCATATAGCAGATTGTAATCTATTGACAACCATGTCATTTTATAAATCAAGAAAGGTTTAAAAATTCTGGCCTCATTACCACAATTAAAGACCAATTTAATGCATTTGCTATTCTAAATACACGATTTTGGTGGGGTCACATTAAAAATAAGAGACACAGACTTCGTGAGAAATGGCAAAAATGATTAAAAATGGCCACAACTGATGCAACGTTAGATGCCAAAAGACATGATCTCTGCAGCATCTTTACATTTATGCATTTGGCAGATGCTTATGTAAAGCAACTTACATAAAGACATACTATATGTTCTGTAAAAAAAAAAATTCATATCGGCGACAGGCTCATATCGGCCGATAATATCGGCAAACCAATATATCGGTCGGGCTCTACTTTTGGTCAATTTAATGCATCCTTGCTGAAAAAAATGAACAGACCCGATTTAATAAGGTTTCAGATAGAGGGTAGAAAATGTTCATGTAAAATTAAATTACAACTTTTTGTGTATATTAGTCTTGACTAATATATATGGAATGCAAAAAATGCAATAAAAGTGTAGGCTCCTCTACACCGTGTTATTTGGCAGGTTTGATCTGATGAACCAAGTGTCCTGAAATAATTAATTAGCCAGCTGACATCACATTTAACCTGGCCAACAGTACTTGGATAAGCAACCTGTTTTGTTTATTGACTTGCCTGCTATTTAGAGGCTTAGCAAGCTCTTCAAACTCAGCTACTGATCCTTCTGAAGAGCACCGACTCCTCCTGCTCTCCACAGACACACTCCTCCCCCTGCCAGCACTTCCTGCTCGCATCAGCTGAGGAATGGGCTCTCTGGAGCGTGAACGCCCTCTTTCCGACGGTGAAGCTAACATGTCCTTTCTAATCTTCCTCTGACTGTTGGAAATAAAAGCAGACCTCATGTATATCTGTAAGTAGGAAACGGGTGCAGCTAGGGTTGGGTATCATTTGTTGTTGTTTTTTTCAATACCGGTTCCAAATCGATACTTTTAAAACGGTTCTGGTGCCTAAACCGGTACTTATAAAAAAAAAAATACAAATAAAAATTCCCCAAAAAATTATAGATTGGCCATTAGCATTATAAACACATGATGTCGGTTTCATTCATACTGGACGCCAGAGGGCGCCCTCACACAGAAAATCCACATATCCAATTACAGAAGAAACGGAACTTATGATCCTCCAGGAAATCCCTTATATGGACAAAGACATGCTATTATAGCTGTAACTGAGTAAACAGAACATATAAACGTTTTGAATGATAAAACAAAGACAATAAACACTCGACTGTGACTATAGTTTATCTGTGTTATTCAAGTCATCTCTGGTATTTTTATAATAATTAAGTATATTTATAATCCATTGCTAATCGAAGTATTTTTAAAGAATCTTCCTCTGACTGTTGGAAATAAAAGTAGACCTCATGTATATCTGTAAGTAGGAAACGGGTGCAGCTAGGGTTGGGTATCATTTGTTGTTTTTTTTTTCAATACCGGTTCCAAATCGATACTTTTAAAACGGTTCTGGTGCCTAAACCGGTACTTATAAAAAAAAAATACAAATAAAAATTCCCCAAAAAATTATAGATTGGCCATTAGCATTATAAACACATGATGTCTGTTTCATTCATACTGGACGCCAGAGGGCGCCCTCACACAGAAAATCCACATATCCAATTACAGAAGAAACGGAATTTATGATCCTCCAGGAAATCCCTTATATGGACAAAGACATGCTATTATAGCTGTAACTGAGTAAACAGAACATATAAACGTTTTGAATGATAAAACAAAGACAATAAACACTCGACTGTGACTATAGTTTATCTGTGTTATTCAAGTCATCTCTGGTATTTTTATAATAATTAAGTATATTTATAATCCATTGCTAATCGAAGTATTTTTAAAGTAGCCTATGGAACATATTTTCTGCCTCATTCTGTGACAAGAAGCCACATCAGATCACAGAAGGAAGCATTTGACTGGTGTTAAAAAAAACTAACACTTGCTTTCTAATCTTTTTGTATTCTATTGGTTTTCTTTTCATTTATTATACAATTAACAAAAGCAAAAAAGACTTCTAACACTAGCTTGCTCTATTCTATCTGTTTTCTTTTTATTTATTATAGTATTTAAAACACCCTTGTTAAGTGTACTGCATTAAGCTAACTGAGACTTGTTATAGCACTTGTATATCATTGCTCTTTTGTTGATTTTGATTGCTTCTAGGGATGCACGGGCCCGATACTGCGCTCCTGTACTCGTACTCATACTCGTAAAAAAAAAACGATACCAAGAGTCGATACCAAACAGCGTGTGAATAGAGCTGTGTCCAGAAAAAGAAACCCTGAAAACAGAACAACAGAGAGTAGAATGGAGTTATTAGAGATTAAGGATGTCTATGAAGTACATGTAATAATTAATATAATGTTAAACATTCAATATTCACGCCTGTATAGTGGATGTGCCCGAGCTGATAAGCAGAGCGCGCTGAGTGGATTGAGCGCACGGCTGCACAGATGCGCAAGCTTGTCAAGTGAATATCTCACAGACATCACTGGAAAGTTTGTAGTTCGGTCGGATATGTCAAAAGCAAGTAAGTAAAACAATGCACAAGTTACTAAAGTTATTTGACGGTAAGGAGAGCGAGAGAGAGAGAGAGAGAGAGAGAGAGAGAGAGAGAGAGTCCGAGAGTGCGCACTTCTGTTGCATGATCTTGATTGCTGTTCACTCCATTAGCGCATGCATTTGGATTAAAACTAAATCGTAAATATTAAACAAACTAAAACTATAGGGGCATTCACTATAAACAGCATTTATTTTAAACGTCAAGCATACACAACTTTATTTAAAGTTATTGAAACTAGCAGACTGGGTGAAACGCTAGGCTATAAGTGACTCTCTCATTCTGCACCACGCGCTGCGTATGCTTGCTTTAAGGCCAAAGTATACTTCGATTTTTACTCGTACGCGAGGGTCTGTGTACACTGCGCGTGACGCAAATTACATCACCAAAATAGTATGCGTGCACTCGTATAATGTATAACAAGTGGTTCCCTGCATTATTTTAGGAAAATGTTTTGTGATTACAGTCTTGAGCTGCTGCAATGGAGCAGCTCTAATGCGCCATTAAAGTAAACAGTGAAAGGAACAAAAGCTTATACAATACATTTTAACAGGTATAATTAAGTGTGGAAATAACTGAAGGTAATATCTGTTTGCTAAATGAAGCCAACTAACATGATTCATATTATTACTACTATTATTTTGTTTCTGTACCCAATATTTGAAAAAAAAATTACAAATGCTGTGAAAACACAGGTATCGGTATCGGCGAGTACCAAAAATTAATATATCAATATCGGACTCGTTCTGAAAAAAGTGGTATCGGTGCATCCCTAATTGCTTCCATTGTCCTCATTTGTAAGTCGCTTTGGATAAAAGCGTCTGCTAAATTACTAAATATAAACGTAAAAAGGTTATAATGTTCTCTTTTGTTGGACAACAGGTTTAGAAATGTGAATACAAGGGAAGTTTAGCTGTAGGCATTTTAATTTAAGCATGTTTAGCTTAAGCTGGGCTCACACTACAGGAGTTTTAAAATCCTAGCCGATTATGAAATCTGGTTGCAGCACACACATAATGAGAATCTTTGCAGATTATCTTCTCTCAAATCTTAAACATGCACACACTACAAGATTTGAACATCATGGCGCATCACACACTACAAGATATTATTAAGACTATCATGCCAGAGGGAGCGCCTCACGTGATCGCCTTGTGACCAGGGGCGTGTCTACGTGGTGGCACTGGCCCCCCCTGAAATCTGGCTGGCCACCCCAGGTGCCCCCCCACCACCAGATATCTTGCGATAGGCTTGTTTTTAGTAAATTTCTAACTGCATCTGACAGTGGCGGATCCTGTGTAGGCAGCTGCCTAGGGCCGCTTTCTTCTCTTGTTTATACTTAATTTTAAGCGGTTTCTATAGCGTGATCTTAATGACAAATGTCGAGAGCGCATAATGTTACGAGTTCCATGTAATGCATGAGCAAGAATCTCACCGCAAGAATCCTCAAGCGGGTTTCCTTCACTCATACAAAACTGGACGTGTGCTTTTAACTAGAGCCCGACCGATATGGGATTTTTGTGGCCGATACCGATATTAGGGGGTTTAAAAAAGGATGATACCGATATATCAGCCGATATTCTTTGTGTATATTATAGTACAGTAACAGTCAAAAGTTTGGACACTTTCCCATTCATGTGTCCAAACATTTGACTGGTACTATATATAGAATACAGTATATGCATAAACAGAATATATATACATAAACACATTTTTTGCAATGATCACTCAAATGTGGTGATCAAACACTTATAATGGTGACAGAGATATGTAAGGGCATTTAACAATTTAACAATAAACTTTACTATCCAAAATGAGTCTGACATCAGTGCACTGAACAGTAAAGTTGAAGTTTATTCAACTTTAATTCAATTCAATTCCATTCAACTTTATTCCGTTGAAGTTTATTTCACTTCGGAACATTCACTCACGGATTTGCGCTACTGTCTTCACACACACAGACGAAACTTACTTGAAAAGTAATATAATATAATATAGAGGAATGCGATGCACAAACGTGGGGGTTAGTTGTAACACACGTGGTTTGAATATTTATTTGACCAAAGTTACATTTTATTATTCATTAAAATGAATGCACTTACGGTCAAATAAGACAACGCTTGATTGCTGCCTGAACAAGAGACCTCCTTACTGAAGTGTTGACTGGTGTCACTATCTTGTGAATGCGCCGGCGGATCTCCACCAAATTCGGGGGATCCCTTCAGCCAACGCCACTCTCCGCGCATCGGTAGCCCCCCGGGATCTCTAGATCGGTTGGCGCCGGACCGCGAATTTAACCATCCGTAACTCCCGAACCCAGGGGGCTATCGACGCGGGGTGGTCTCATTCGAAAGAGGGCCTCTAGACGTACACTCGATTCGTGTTCGAGAGGGTTCCTCGAGCTGAAGGGATCCCCCGAATTTGGTGCGGAATCGCCGCGCCGTTACGGAGATATGGCCGTTGAAAGTTTCAATGGTTTTCCATAGACTTAAGCTTTAAAGCGTTTCATCCAGGTCGCCAATAGCAAACAATAGACCAAACTAAGTAATTACATCATTTCAAGCATTTTATCTGCATTATATGTTCTGTAAAAAAAAAAGTTCATATCGGCGGCATATTCGCCGATACCGATATATCGGTCGGGCTCTACTTTTAACTATACATTGTTTTTTTTAGGAATTGGCTCTGCTCTCACTCAGATATTGCGTGTACACGCTCAAACTTTGTCCTCGCATCACTGAACACCAGAAGAGCTTTTTTTTCTAATTCAGGTGAAGAGTAGCCAAGGCTTTTCTTACTAAAATGGAAGCAAACTGGTTATAGTCAGTCTTCTCTAGTTATTTATTTAATTATTTAATACTTATTTTAGTTAAGTGCTTAAATTGTAAATATGCATTTATTAAATTATTTTATCTAGTGCATTTGTATTTTGTTGTTTTTGTAGGCTATACAATAAAAGGGTACCAACCAGAAATAATCACTGAGGGTGCTTCTGACATTAGTGAGGGTGCTCTAGTCTTAATGCACATTTTCACATATTTTGTCCCATCTATTGCTATGGTTATTATCACTATGTCAATCACTACTACTTCGAGAGCGAATCCAGCATAAATATGCGGATGTCATTCCCGAAACTTTGCAACGTG